AGCATCTCTGGAGTTGGCCTGGCCACTGAGTTCTTTCAAAGCTACCCAGATGATGCCAAAGCGTAGCCAGAGCTGAGAAACACCATTCCCCGGCCTCGCTATTAAGTGTCATCGGCAGGCCAGGATGAGCAGCTCTGGAGCCCTGGGAACTGGTCAGAAATGCAGGCCCCACCCCAGGCCCCTCAGGGCCAAGCTGCGGTTGACCAGCTCTTCCGGGATCTCTGTACACACTGAAGGTCGACAGGCTGTTCTGGTGCCTCTCAACAGAACACGTCTTTCCACTTCCTCCCTCTTCCCATTGCACCGCCCACCAAAAAGGTAGCTGAACATATTTTCAGAAGTCATTTTCTTTACTCCGTTGCCCATTGAAAGAGGGATAGGGTGAAGCCAGCCTATCTGTTCCAAAATCATTTATTAAGGCATGTTAAATGGTGTATGCTGCCCTGACCCAATCAAATGCCCCAGCAAATTTTAATTGGCGGTTTCTGTTTTATGTCCCATAACCAAAGACATTAAGGATCACTAGCATTCACAACCATGAATTCATTTAGACAGTTTTCTTTAATTAACGATGAAGACACTACAGTTCTAAGTACCAGACAGAATCAGGGGAGAAAAAAAAAACTGAAAATAAGCATAACACTAGAAAGAAAACTTGGAAAAGTGAACCACTTCTAAATAAAAATATATACCTGGCCTGGTACCCGTTACATATATACATAATACATGTTATACACATATATACAATAAATGTTTTGGTAGCAATACAGACCATGCATTGGTCCTTTTGTACACAGATGAAGTAGCACCTTGAGCAGCACCACCATCTTAAGATGATAAACCAAACTGCACAGACATTAAATGAAAAAATATATATGTATTTCATTTGGCCCACCCTGTAGCCAAGAGGTGTAAAGAGCTTTGTAAGAAAAATTGTTCCAGGAACTACATTCTTAATCCAATAGAAAAGTTAAAAAAAAAAAAAAAAAGAAAAAGCACTAAAGATGTCTATACAAATACAGACAAGTTTTCCTGTTCACTGAAGTTATCCTATTATGTGGTATATTGATTAACGCTGCAGAAATTAACCACTTAAGCAGAGAGAGACTGAAATGCAGGGTGGATGGCAAAAGTCTAACACACCAAATTGCTTAGTGTATATATATCCCAAATGCCAACTCATCAACAAACGAGGGAAGGGGGACAACTCTCCAGCTAGGTCATACGTTTTCTAATCTCATAAGCTGACCATGAGCTCCTCATTAATGAAACTCCTTAGGAGCTGGATCAGACACCTTCAGTGTCCTTCCACCTCCTCCTGGCACTCACTTGATGTTCTGGTTACAAGGAGAGAGGGACACCCAGACATGCCACCTGGCCCACACGTTCTCTACCTACACTTGGGAGGCCAATAGTGGAGCGACAGGAGGACCTCCAAGGTGTCCTCTACCTTGGCTTTGGAAATGACTATGGGCACCAGTGTTCAATCCTTGACGTCCTACTAACCACAAGAAGGTCGTCTGTGCTCTCCCCAACTAAGCTCACAGACGAGAGGTCTTTGTCTCAGCTCTGGCGAGGTCACACTTCTTCATGTCCCTAGCAGCACGTGCTTCTCCCTCTCCAGGTTCTCAGCAGCCTATCCGCATCCAGCCTCATGGCCAACTAACATTCACGGTATCCTAGGAACCCTTTACTCCCCTGTCAAGTCTTTGCAAAGAAGCAATTTCATATTTGGCTTCCACCCATTCTCCTTCACATGCCTTCCAAAGGGTTCTGTCTCTCCCCTGTCAAGGTCTTCCTTCCCACAGTGTCTGGGGTTTCAGCACCTCCTTGTGTGATGGACTGACCCACAGAGCTCTGCCAAAGCAGTCGGGGCATGTCACATCTAGCCCATTTTTCATGGCTCTATTCGTGTCAGTGGACAGTGAGCTCCCTTCCCCCGTCTTTAAACCACCTCTAGTAAATAAAATTAAAGTTTTCAACTCAGGAACAAAACAGGGCTTCCAGAGTGCCCAATCCTGTGTCTTCCAGTCTAGTCGGGTTGCTTCTTAACACTTCATCTCAAATGTAAAAGACAGCTAGCCGGGAGAAAATAGTCAGGAAAGGAAAGGTTAAAAATCTCTACCTCCAGCTAGATGAATTTTAGTAAATCCATTTTTAAGTTAACCTAGGTTAGGCAAGAGAGTCCCTGACCTTTGAAAGTTAGCAAGAAATAGCCACCAATGTAACATCACTACTGATTTGTCATTATTGACTCAGGCGGTTGATCATTAATGGATTCTCCTTATTTGTAGTTGGTTCCAGAACGGTTTTTTTTTCCCCCAACCATAACAAAGATATCATCAAAATCATGAAATATATCTGTTCTTTCCACTAAAGAAAATTTTAAAACTCTGCCTAAGTCTCTAAAAAAGAATGCTGTGAAAGGCTGGTCTCATGAAGAAAAAGCCACTATCTTATAGGCTAACCAGAGGCCACTTGAATCCCCATTAATGTAAGCCCTTGGCCGGCCTACAAATACTTTGAAATGGACAAAAGCCAAGTCTCCTCAACAGGAACTGAACACAAGGACTGAGCAGCTAAAGTTGCTCAAGATCAACCCTTCATGTAGCCAGAGCATGAGTTCTTTGCCTTAAATACCAGCAACTTCCAGTTTTAAGTCGGTAAAGTTTGAAACCACCATCAAACCCAGCTCAGGGACCACTTGAAGCAGCTTAAATAAGAATTTCTACCCTTATGCTATTTAACTGAACAAAACATCAGAGAAATAGAAACCAAGAGATGGATTTTTCCAGTCTGTTCATTTCTGTTCTCACCCATTACATGCTGATAACTCCACACGCAGAGGTATCTTGGTAATAATCATTCAAAGTGAAGGTTCCTTGAGTAATAATAATCAGCTTTACAGGAAACTGATCAGGGCTGACTTTGTTCACTGATTTCTGTTTAACTACTTAAGTCCTCAGTGGAAGAGAGCAGGACAGCTTGCTCTTCTCCTACACTAACAGCAAGAGTATGAGTCAGAATACTTGAAAAATGAAAGTTTGTTTGATCAACAAAGTGTTTTTCATAAAAGAGTAAAAAAACCCTTTCAACCAGATTTTTAAAATTGGTAGTATTCTCTTCTAATAGGAAATGATGTAATTCAGCAAGTTCCTTGAAAACAATGGATTCTTATGACTACAGACCTATTTATCTTAGAAACTGATGAGCATGCAAATGATTAGAATCTGCAACAACGAACATTGCACAACTGTCTGTGAAGTATATGCCATCCGGTTGGATTAACGGCAACACAGGCCTCAGCAGTGAGAGGGGTCCTGTGTACCTCCACTCCCTTTAAGTAGAGCAGAGGGTCCCCAGCCAGGACATGAGGGGCAGCAGCCACTGCCCCCCGCCCCTTCCTTTTGCCTCACCTCTGAAGCACAACCCTTCAGAGAAATGAAATGTTGCTCCTTCAACAGTAGAGCTGGGAATTTCTGATACAGAGTTCATACAGACTGGGAGGGAGCCTGACATTGGCATTGATCCACTTAACTTCCAGGAAGTCTCCTGGTAAAAATGTTTTTAAAAACTCTGTAGGCAGTGTTTTTGAGTACACTCGTTGCCATTGCTTTTTCACAAGGAAAATTTCAAGATGTGTGTACTTCCCAAAGAAGAAAAGGATTAACATTTTCACTGCTGGCTAGGTATTTCAATAGCTCGTCATGAAGCTTGGATGGACTCTCTGTGCACTGAGTTTTATTAACTAGTCACTAATAGGCTAGTACCCAAATGGGCCAAATTACATTCAATTAAATAATGAAACACTGGAAATTCTCGCAAAGCATGAGATAAGCTCTTAAACAAAGTGACACGTAGCCCTGGTCATGATTTAAAAACAAAAACAAAAACTAACAACAACAACAAAAAAACCCCACCACTGTCTGGAATTTTAACTCCTGGTTAGGAATTAAAGACAAGCACTCACTTGTCTTGCCATCTTTCTTGAGACAGTGCAGGAAACGAAGTGTCCTAGTTTGTGCACAGAAGAAAATGGTGCCGATGGAGTGGGAAGCCGACAGAAGTGGGGGGAGGGGAGAAGAAAAGCTCAACAGTCTCTAGTTTATTATGAATAGAAAGAAATTTCCAGAATTTACAAACACCCACATTGTTCATTCCAAAGAGACCTTTTGATTTAAAGGGATCCCCCATGTCTCCTTCTCTGTACAGTATGTACAATGGAAGACTTTGATTTCCTTTTCTTATCATTCTGCTTCCATTCAATTGCCAATTTTAAGCTGACACTTGAAAATACCTAGCAGACTATACCCTTCTTCAGGTTCATTAACATGGCCTATTGCCTTACAGGAAAAATACAAAATTAGGATCAATTCTTGTAAGGATCTCAGCTCAACACCAGGGCTATATTACAAGAGATAGTATCAGCAAATATAACTATACAATTGAGAACCATCTATGGCACTATGATTTTTATATTATTTTTCTGAATTACAGTCTTAAAACAAGGGTCGTACCCTAGTCTACTCTTGCTAGCCTTGTTTTAAGCATTTGCTCCACTCTTTACAACAGAACATTGCATACCTCAGTTCCACATCCAAAAAAAAAAAAAATGTGCGCTGTAAGAAAAGTTACATTTTAATTAAAAAATTATACATATAAATCAAAACCTATGTTAAATATTTAATACTCTCTCCATCCAACGTGAACCACTGTGTGTGAAATAATTTACAACGATGCTTCGTCGCACGCAGTTTCAGCAGCAGATGAAATGTATCTTGTAGATGCAATGAGAGGAAACCCATTCTCTCGTGGCATGGCGGTGGGCACATCAGCTCATGTGGCCAGCTAAGTCCTTACGGTTGAAGATGATGTTTATGCAGACTCATTGTCCTGGTGTCACAGTGCTTTTTTTGCTTGGCACAATAAAGAACATGCAGTTCAGTCAACGGACTCCTGAGGATTTATAAAGTAAACAAACTGAAATGGATGCATCGTACCATCTACTGAGGAGGAAGCTGTGAGGTCCTGGTTGTGAATCATGAAATAGTTAGAGTCTGGGTACCCATGAGTTAGAGGAAGATTTGCTGAGGTCATTTAGGTCTTCATTCTGGGGGGTAAAAAAAGAAAGAATTCATCAACACAGGCATCTCCAAATCACTTTGTTAGGGTTTTGCTTTAAAAAGGGGACCTAGCAGATAAACTGAAGTCACGGGCACAAACAGTACTGTGTGCTTCAATAAAATCAACAAACTGTATTTAACTTCTTTTTTTTCTTTCAAAATGCAAGGGTCCAAAGCAATCACAAACTCAAAATAGTCAATATTAAGTCAGCAAACAAATCAATATGATTTGGAGGTTTCAGAGGCTTAGCAACCAAACTACACAATGCTTTGATGTTCTTATGATCAAAACAAAAATGTACACTACAGGCACTGTGTAAAACTACAACAAAACAGGGCAAGCAGGTAATAGACAGGCTATGCCGAGTCTTCTTTTGCTTAAAAGTTACCTGCATGTTTTAGAATTTGAAGTTGCAAGGCTTAACATTACAAAACCTGAAATTGGTTTTTAAGGTGCCATTGTTTGATGTGAAAATTTTAGATACGAAAGGAAACCAAAGCAAAGCAGACCAAGTTAATCATTAAATTAAAAAAAAAAAAGGTTTCCGATTTTCATGTAATAGAAATAAATTATTCTGGCAGAAGCACATCTCTTTTATGCAATTCAAAAAGGCAGGTCTCAAGGGGCATTGTCCCTTCCAGGAGACCCATCTTTTCAACCTCATGACGCCTCTTTGGCTCTCATATATCAACATTAGAGTCTTTTTTTTATTATTATTATTTCTCTTTTCAGAGAGGGGAAGGGTGAGAGAAAGAGAGGGTGAGAAATATCAATGTGAGAGAGAAACATCAATCAGTTGCCTTTCATACGTGCCCCAACCAGGGACGGAACCCTCAACCCAAGCATATGTCCTGACTGGGAATTGAACCTGCAACCTTTTGCTTTGTGGGGTGTCGCCCAACTAACTGAGCCACACCAGTCAGGGCAAGAGAGTCCTTCTGAGGCCCATATTTTTCATGCATTTAGAAGTTCTCTATAAATATCAATATTTACAGAATGTCCTGAATAGAGTATTTAATCAATAGGCACATGTTGAATTAGTAAAATGGTTGCATTAAATACTATGAAGACTACAAAGTTAAATTCTGCTACAGGCCCTGCTATCTAGAAATTCTAGAAAGGAAGGAGAGCTCCCGCTCGTAGATAGAATCAAGAGTAGAAAGGAGTGAATTCCATGACAGACACAGGAAGAATGCTCTAGATGCACGACGGAGGGATAGACCACTTTCAGCTAGAACAGAAGGGAAGTACATCGCTGACACATCCGGCTTGGTTTGGAAGAAACAAACAGGTTGGGGGTATGGAACCAGGGTTGTGTTTTTGTGGCTCCCATGTTGCATCTCCAGAGTTTAGCACAGGGGCCAGCACATAGGGGTTACTCACTAAATACAAAGGGAATGAATGGCAGGGACCAAGCACACGCCCATTGAGAGCACCCAACAAAACAAGGCAGTTGAGAGTGCAGCCAGGGACAGGACCAGTGAAGAGTGTGGCTTTGTTGGAAGCACGAGACATCTGAAAAAAGGTAGAAGGAGTTAAGTGTACAAATGCAGGTTGGGGTGGGCGGTGAAGAGCCTTGACTGTCAGTCAAGACACCTTTGTACAGTAGAGGGACAGCAAGGACACGTTTTGTGGGATGATAAGAGTGCTCAGTGGTAATCCACGTCAGCTGCAAGGATAGAGATGGATTCCAAAACTCACACAGTGAAAATGTTGAGCCTTGTGACTGATTTTTTTCTCCCTCTCCCTCCTCCTGAAGGAGGGTATGGCGGGGATCGGTCAGCATTCGCCATTTACACAATGGCTCAGGTAAGACAAAATTTACCAAATGAGAACTCTATTGTGATGAGGAGGCTTCTGATTATTTTAAAATATTAACTCTGCCCCTAAACAACAGGTAAACAAACAGCCTCTTTACCTACTTAAAAATAAAGATCTGACATGGAACAACACACAGAAACAAAAGAGCACTCCAGGAGTGTCCCTTAATTGCCAGAGAAATGAGATTGCCATTGCATGGTGTCTACAAGTCAAAGGCTAGCCCATCTCCTCAAACCCCCACAGAATGGTCTACAGATCTCCCAGTTAGTTTCAAGTTTCTCCTGAACTCATATGGCCATCTGTCAGGACGTTGCCACCAGACTATCTAGATACAGCTTAACTAGCACAGGTTCACAGCTCTGGGCCTAAAATGAGAGGAGGGCCACACTGGGCACAAGGGGCGGAGACCAACAAACTGCTGCATGTGAAATGAAGGCCAAGCGAAGGGCACATGTTACTTTTAGGTCGTGCTCTCCTCCACAATGGCCGAATAAACAGCTCAGCACAAGAACTGCATCCAGTCTTGTCATTGCATGTGACAACCTGCAAGGATGCAGAAGGGAAGAGTCCGGGAGCCCAATGAGAAGAGAAAAATCTACAGCTTCACTAGAGGCAGAAATCTACTACTTTGGGGCACTCTGAAGTTATTCCTGTAATTTCCCACAAGTATATATGTTCAAAGAGTGGGAAATAAAAGGCTATATCAATTCCACCACGTACCCTCCCTCCAAAGTCTTAGCATCCTACTTTGCAAAGCCCTATATCATGAATCCTGATCAATATATGTCTCAGCCACTAATGGCACCTACTGGTGCCATCAATTCAGGAGCTTATGCAAAAGTGAAAGCACCTGGGAGGCAATCCTGCCACAAAGGGAAAAGGAATGGAGAGCAATACACAGGCAATAGAGGTCCAGCGAAAGTTACAAGGAACGCCTGAAGTTCACGCTCATCTTTGTACAAGGGTGTGCGTGTGTGCATGTGTATAAATACACATTCAGTTTTGCTACAGGGTAATGACATGGATTTTTAACAGACATCCCTCGGTGAGAACTGTCCTTCACTCCAGCCACCTTAGGGTAATACTTATTCCAAGCATGCAGCCATTGTTCAGAGCATTTTTGGAATGCCTTCTCAAGTTCCCATTTCTTTTTTTGTGACTGCCTTCTCAGCCTTGGGTATATGCTTTTGAATGGTCGCTATAGCAGCCAGTCTTGGCCCTTGGAGGGCCCATTTGATCTTTGGAGACAGCCAAAAAGCTTTGAGAGCCAAATATGGTGAATAAAAGGGCTGATTAAGCTGGGTAATGGTTCCCAGAGCGTTATTATCTGAAGCCAAAGGACTCCAAAACTAAAGTTCCCAAACAGAGCTGTCCACAATTGCTCTGATGAGTTTTATTGGAAAGGGGCTCTCAAAACATTACAGACAGACCTTAGCATGTGCTCTATGGACTTAAATCCATCTGCCAATTCCCTTGCTTCTACACGCATGTAATCAAGAAGGGCTGAGCTTGAATAAAGAACTCATTTGAACAGAAGCAAAGATGTAGATCATCCATTTTTGTAATTTAGCAATTTGTTGGGTTTTTTTAAAAAAAGCAATACTCATACTAGGCTCCTGCAGTCATTTAATTCAACAAACATCTGTTGAGTGACAAAAATGCAATGATAAAGACTATGATATGCACTAAAAAAGAAGACATGGGTATACATATGTTTAATGTCCTTTATATATACAACCCCAATTGACTCATATCAACCATACAAGGTGAATACAGCTACGGTGTTTTACAAATACAAAAGCTCATTTGTAACACACAAAACCTGGACGCACGCGCGCGCGCGCGCACACACACACACACACAAACTTTTTCTTAGAGAAGAGCTGTGCAAATATCAAATGGTGTTGCTCCTGTGATACAGTCTGTCTAGTTACATCATTGGGGAATAACTTAGGAACTCAGAAATATGATGCACCTGTCACAAGATTAGCAGCAGGAAATTACATTTTGACAAAATTTTATCACCATATCAGCATCTACTGTACCCTTCTGTGTGTCTTCTTGTAAGATAAAACCCACCCAATCCCATTGCCAGTAATGAAAAATGTAATTTTTAAAGCATTATCAAATAAGTCAACACTTCAGCAATGCTACTTGAAACCTATGGCTTATTGCATTATTGTAACTGGCAGGAATTTACATCTTCTGGACTCGACCCACTTAAACCATGCCTGCTAGAGCTGAAAAACAAACAAAGCTTCTGCTGCCTTTCACACTGTCAGCCTACTGATTAGTCCTCACTGTGAGCGTCTGAAAACAGCACCGGCGTATGATGTAAGTACAATAGAGGGATCTGCACCCTCCCAGCAAAGCGTGTTTAATCAAAGGCATTGATTAAAAGTTTTTTATCTTGTTTTTAAATGCCTTGAAACTTCCTGCCAATTTGTTGAGTCAAGTGCAACATAGTTATAAATACCTGGTTAGAGTATTACTAGCAGTTTGTAGTTTTACTAAGAAACAGCAGTAAAATATTGTTAAGTTGCTTGGCTACTGTCATATACTAACAGGTAGCCAGAAAGTAACTCTTCCTCATCCAACTATGCTGGGGGGGGGGAGGGACGGAAAGACTACAGTAATGACTTTTCTTCAATGGAGATCATTGTTTGAAATCTTATATTGTTGATTCAACTAGAAAAATTCATATAAATAAATTCCTCCACTTAAAGAAATGTGTCAAAACAGCATATTTTTTCTTTCTCTTAATATAAACAGCTGGGACTCAAAAAACATTCTTGAGTATAACAAGAAAAATTCTTGCATATACATTATAGTATAATAATAAATGTTTAAATAGGAGAGGAAAGTAATATTTTGATAGTGTTTGGATCTTTCCCATTCTTAAAAAAAAAAAAAAAGTTTGTGATGAGAAAATATATGAAGTCCTGACCAACTTTTTAAGCCTTCTAGGTAGTCTATCCCTTTCCCATACCCCCAATTCATGGCATGGGGCAGAATTGTGGCGGGTTGACAGCAGAAAAAGCCTCCAGCTTCCAGGATGCAGTTTCCAAAAGCCTAAATACTTGAGGGAGAGGCACAGGCCAAGTATTTGGATGAACCAGGTGGGAAGAAACAAGGTGGAAGGGATGTGAGAGCGGACGTCGGTGG